AATAGGTACGTAAGATTGAGCATCTATAAGCGGGGTTTTTGGCCCTGAAAATAATATAAATTTCAAGTTGATCACATCTCACAAGTGTTTGCATTTAAACATTTTATACAGGGTGACTTTGAAGTTGAGTCATTAATTTTCAGATAATGATTGAAGAAGGAAGATAAACCAAATGTGTGTAAAAATTAAAAAAATTAAAAAAAAATGTTACCTTGTTTTATAAAGTATCCTACCGACAAGTATTTCAGTGCGCACCTGTATTTGATCGTGCGGTCTTGGAGCACCGGCATGCCCTCCCCTGTGAGGTGTTAAGTCACCAGCATTTTGTAAAGACCCTCCCCCCGTAAATAAGAATCATGTCCACAAGTTCAGCATTTTCGTAAGCATGTGCCATTTTTTATTTCGTTTGAGCCACGCAACAAACACCACTATTCACTAATGCGTTACCGACTGACACATTGACTGAATACAACTGAATAAAATTGTAGTAAAAACATCGTGATAAGCGTTTCAAATTCTTTCGCTTTTTTGTTTCCGATGCGATGAACCGATAAGGCGGATTATATCCGTTGTTGCCAAACACGAGCACATAATATTATTATTGAGACAGGGCGGTACTCAAACCTCTAAAGGGCTATAACTTTGTTACTTTAATTTTACCAGAAAAATGTTAAAGGAAAAAACTTTTCTTTTGATCAGATCTACTCACTGTTGAAATAAATGACTCAACTTCGAAGTCACCCTGTGTATACAATGGTGATTCACAAGTTGTGATAAAAAATGAAACATAATACACAGTACCGCATTTTAAGAGGGGTCTTCTATGTAACATTTTTTCCTCGAGGGCTTCATTAAAAAGAGACGGGGTAATTTTTATTATCTTAAAAACCGTCAACTAGAATAAACTAAAATTTGGTATGTGGATTTACCTAAGTATTGACCAAAAGTCTTTACTTATAATTAACGTGCACCAGTGGCGGAGATACAGTAGGAAACAGGGTTTTTGGTGGTGTACATATCATTTTCGACATTTCTCGCAATTTCAATACTATCTCTCCAATTGGCGGGGGAAGTAAAAATATTCATGTACGCCAGTGTGTACCTCTAAGAAATGGATCGTGCTAAGAGTAAGTTTCCAGAAGAGTTTTAAGGCACGCAAAGAATGTCCGTATTAAAAGTGCATTATACCTACCGGGTAAATGTGGGGCAACGGAGCTCCTATTTCAATCCGCAAAGAATTCTACGGCTATATGACGGGAGCGTGTACATTGCGGATTACAAGTCAGGTAAAGATTTCATTACTAGGTCACAGCCTGTTTGCAATGCAGAGGAAAATAAGAAGTTCGGTGGAACCTGGATTATTTGGTTTTATTATAATGCAGTGTTGTGTATTCTCCTACGCTACTGTACTGAAATCATACGCACATTAGTATCACTAGAAATACATTTATTAGATATGTGTTTAAGGGCGATCCTCTCAATTTTTAACCGTGTATTTCGAATTGATATATAAACACGCAAGAAGTTTCTTTGTGGTTATGATCAAGGGAACGTAAGACAGAAAAAAATTCCGTTTACCTTTTGATAAGTAATTTCAGAGCGTGTAGGTCCAAACTCAAGCGAATGTGAAACTCACGGAAATAGTCCGAAAGTGTAAAATGTCTCTAGATATCTGACTGTCTTTTGGGGGGAAACCTCCTCCGCATTTTTACATGTATATGCCAGACAATAATACAAATTCTAGTATTTCATACATGGCTTGTTAATATTTAAGGACGACAGTTGTTATGAAACCGCGGCTTATGAATTAGTAACGACGTAATTTAGAGCAGTGAGTGCATACAGAAAACAAAATATCAAAACAAAGCGAGAAGCGTACGCTATTAGACTTATCGTTAGTGGAAAACCTCAGCTTCGCACGATTAACAAAATGATTTGAGACTTTTGTTATTAAAGCGATGCGATATACCATATAAAGAATGACTTTCCAAGCACTGATATAAAATCCGCACCGGTATCACGTATCTTGAAGAGACATTATGCTTTTTTTTGACATTATGTAGGTTTTTCTACAAGATGTTAACTTAGCAGTTAGTTGTACGTATTGCCTAAACGTCATGAGTCTTGTTATAAATATTTGGCTGTGATGTGATGTAAATTCTGCTTCAGAGATGGCATTACTGGAGGTCTAAGCTGTAAGTTGTATGTGTTGATGATATATAATTACATTAGGTTCTTGTCTCAAATACACTTGATTGAGATTCCAAGCTAAAAATTAGTTGCGCATCCACTTTTTATTCTCCATTCTGGAAATTACATATACAAATTTGCTGAATTTAAAAAATGAGACAGATAAGAAATAATTATATTCACTGTACACTGTCGAATTACAAGTCATATACATATATGATAACAGTAATTACACACAACGCGGGCGCGGTGATGATTTCCCGTAATTCTTCTCAGTTTTTTGTAATTAACTTTGCACATAACCTCTCTTCAGAAAGCACAACATATAAATAACCCGTCATATTCGGCATATTCAGTGATGATTTTCTCACACAGCAAATATCCCTGATTTTATACACATGCAGACCACTACACATAATCATCCAGATGCGATCTTGTTATTCAACCAACTTTCTTCTCAGAGATAACAAGTACAGACACGGATCAATCAGCCTCACAAAGCTATGCAACCAATAATGCGTGTAGTTTAGTTGAGTGATTCCTCCATAGATGGACCTTCACAACGATCCTAGTGAGCAAATGTGGAATGACTGTTTGAGCCCTAAAAACTACCTAGTCTGCAAGTTGACATTTTATAGGTTTTTTTGACGTTTTATAGGTTTTTTACATTATACCCGTGCCGTTCTTGAAGTGCTCCTGCAGCTGAGCCAAATTGTCAATTCGATAAGTGTTAAAAAAAAACGTGTTCTGGAAATGTATGGTACCCAAGAATTAGTAAGTCTGCAGCATTAGAATGATACCAAGTGTAAGAATATTTGAGCTCTCTAAAAGATTTTGTCGATTACGTCTTAACGAGATCAATGAAAAACCCCGAAAAGAGGTGTAGCATTTTTATAAAACGCCTATTCGTATAAACATCTGAAAAAAAAACAAAGTTGTTGATACCCTGGAATTTAATGTTACACACATAAATGAATGGAACTATGAAACTGAAATGCGCATAATCATTACGCCGCGTTCAAACTTCAGGCAAGATTAAGAGTAGTAATAGTGGGACGAGTTGAAATCTTGGCATTTGTAAACCAGTGTGTTCGTGCAACAAACACGACAAATTTGTCAGGTGACAGATCAGTCGGTTTGTGAAAGCGTCTTATGAGAATCTGTATAGTCACTGGTATAAACTCATCAATGAATCGTATCGTCTCAACATGTAAAGTGCGACAAAAAATAACAGCTGGTCATTTAGTGGTATTTAAAATTTCCAAGGTACACAACCATACCCGGTACTACTTCGTAGTTTCTAACAACGATAACGCTTTCGTGTGAGTTGTTTTGCATAAAGTAATTAGGAAGGTTTTTGCATACAATCACAATGATCCAATTGACCTACAATTGACCTACATAGCTGCCAGTGACATTTCAAATTAACTAAGAGTTGACAAAAATTAATAACATTTAGTGAAAATAATATTCTGATATTCGAATTAATTTTAACATATTTGTATTTACCCAGAGTACAAAAATTAAAGTAGACATCAGAATGTCTTTGTTGTTATTTTTGACATTACGTAGGTTTTTTACGTAATAACCCTGAGGACTATAATCCAAATGGAATTTCATATTTGAGGTGTCCTTAGATTCGTCTTGATACAATGAAAATTCTTTGTCAGTTACTCCAATGAGTTTTTGTAATGTATTCCATAAAAATAAAATATTCTGGAGCACCGCGTAGATGTTTCTACTGTATAGGTTCCACAAGAAACTGCAATATAACTATTTTCTGGTATATAGGAAATCGTGGAATCAAAGTAACTCTCTAAACGTCGTTTTCTTCGTTTCTCCTTTCAGCGAATTTCCTGAGCGGTCAGCAATTTTCGGTGTGGCGACGGCGGCGATGTCGTTTGGCGTTGTCGTCTGGACGTCCAGTCATCGTTTGCGTCGCTATCAGTTTCAGCAGTGCTGCCAACGGAAGGAAGGAAAAGCAGCAAAATGGATTTGGGATCGCCAATTTAGCGCCGCTGGAGACCGATGCCGATGCTGACTTTATACTTCCGCGACCTTCTGCGTTGTTCGCTCCGATAAATAATATTCTGCTGAAAAGATAGCCTTCGACATTTACTAAGAGTTTGTGGATTTATAAGACCCATCAGTGTATTATATGTGAGGGATATTTAGGTCAAAATCCCTATCTGCTTAACACTAGAAACAGGAGAATGGTGGTTGTACCAGCTCATAGGACTTCTACAAATAAGAGGCTTCTCGTACAATCCTGCTAAATTATAAAACTCCCTTCATAATGAATATTATGACTTCTCTCCTATTAATTTCAAAAAGAAGTTGAAAGGCATGTTGTTGTGTGAAATATAATCGTTGAAGATGCTGACTCTGGTTGTACTTTTGGCGTTTCTTCTGATTCAATTGTATTATTGCCATTAAGGTTTCTCAGACTGAATAAAAACATAACCTAATATGTTAAATAGTTCTGAATGAGCGACTAACTTAAAAATGTTTAAGTTTGGTGGTTGTTTTGTTAGTTAGATTTTTGATTTGTTGGTGTTACTACCTATTATTACTTTTTCATATAATTTTTTTTATTGATTTCTTTATATTGTTGTGGCTAGAAAAGTGTTCTGGTGCAGGTGATCTTATGCTGCTAGTTCGATGGGTTAAGAGTACATTTTTTAAATTTATAATTATGGATATTATTTGCCCATTTGTTATGTGCACAGTAAATTATAGGTTTATCAATAGGGACAAAGGACCTGGTGCGCTTTTGGTCGAATTTACTTTGCTCTTTTCCTTTTTTTTAGATTGAGTCGAAAAATATCATAAAGGTAATCCTCCTGCCTTTTTGATTTTGATGTTAATCTTTAACATAACTGCCAGTTATCATGTTCCTTTTTTAGTCTGTTGGTGTTTTTTTACCATGAGACCATAAGGATGCACGTGACATGGACATGGACACATCTTCCATTTCCTTTCCGGCATACTAACGGAAAATATGGATACTCCCCCATAATGCTGCATTATCTGCTCGATGGACAAATAAAGCTTCTTGTATTATGTTCCCAAATTCAACTCAACATCAACATGTACAAAATCCCTATAGGAGTACCCATGACATCATTATTTAGCCATTAAATCTGTCGAAAATATTATCAAAATAATAATAATAATAATAATAATGACGATGATGGTAATAATAATGACTGAGATTTATTTCGTACAAAAGTACAAAAAAGGAAACGTGTCGTTGAGACTCGCGTTTTTCAGCTTAACTTAGTAAAAAAAAATATAACATGGTCTTCCAATTTGGAAAAGAGAAACATCGATTTCAACTAAATACGGTACGCGGAAAGACGGAGTACGATCACGTACTAGATCCACCACCTCCATTACAGCAGTAGCTTATCTGCATCAATAAGATATCTATCAAACGGCACGACATCGTGACAGCAGATCGTATGAATGCAATTTTCTTCTTCTTCATACACCGCAAACTGAGAGATCTAACGGTATAGGCGATATACTTCTATATTCATACCCAGGAATATCGGTACAACATGCAAACATAAATGCAAACAGACGAGGCACGCCATATTAATATTTAAACTTTTTATGTATACGAGGCATGTTGGTACTCCTGTCTATAAGCCGTAAGTGTCTCGGACGTTGCAATCACATTGGTTAGGAGGTTATGATTACGATCGCAATTAAAATGTTGATGTGTGCTGGATAAATGGCATCGGGCATCATATCGGTTCTGGTCTTTGTCTGATGTTATGGGTAGAGATGGATGTTGCCGATATGACAACTGCAGTGAAGTTCCATGCTGTTACAGAATCGGGATTGATATTCTGTGTCGATGTGTAATGGGACTGGTTTATGCAAAACGAAACAAAACTTCGAGTGGGAAGTTTGATTCCGCTAGATTTTGGCACACCATAGAAGCAACACCCAAATACAAGCAAACCACTACAAGTAGCCGAAGTAGTTGAATCGGAAAAGCCTTCTATTCATTCAGTTCTCATGCAATCTGAAGCAGAGATTTGGTGAAGCTTCCAACAAGCTCAGGACAAGGCGTTATTGACATATAAGCGAGACATCAGAGGAACGAATTCCATTATCATGCCAGTAACAACAACTTGTCTCTCTAAAAGGTTTGAACTCGTGTATTAAATGTAATCGATTGATAGAATTGCCTTCCTCTAAACCGCAGTGTGGGCAATGCAATTGGAGCAACAACTCCCCATATACGAGAATGATAAAAGCAGTTATTCCTTGAAAGATTTGGTTTTGGAATTGGAATAGAGCAAGAAGGTTAAATGCTGAAAGGTAGTTCATAAGTCTAGATTGTAAGCAGAACCTAGCCTCTCAGCAGATGTTGTGACTGACGAGACGTTTTCGTGTGTGTTTTTTTTGTGAATGTATTGGGTCTACAATTTAAATAAGTGGCTTCTTGATAACACTCAGCTGTCAATTGAGACCGGTTATTTTTCTCTTCTACTATTAGAATAGTACAGGAACAACCCATCGGCAGAGATAGCAGTCAACAAAAATATGTAATCAATCCCTGCGAACCTAACAAAGAAAATCCTTTAACCACGTTAGATATCTTATAACCTTGCTATTATCAAGAGTTGCTTGGTAAGCATAACCTAACGACTGAATGAGCTTATTAACTGCACAGATATGTGAATTTCGAAGGCGCTCTGGTGGTTTATGGAGTGAGACATTATACCTTCTGTTGACGATGGTGGAGATAATTCAGAAGCTCCCTAATAATACACTTCCCCAGAGGTTTACAGAAAAACATAAGAAAGTAGGTAGCTGTTTGGGCTGGTCTGTCTGGCGAGACAGCACACAGTACCGGGTGCGTCATCTTTTATGTCGGTACTGAAACATCGTATGACTTTGATATTTACCAACCGAGTGATGTGATTATACGTGTTTCTGAAATGTCATTTTGCTACAATTTTAGTCATGAATCGCTTTACATCGAAACAACGCGCTGAAATAGTCACAATGTACATTGAAAATCGTTGTTCAGTTGTGTTAACGCAAGGTGCATATCGTCGAAAATATCACACTATCCGTCGTTTGATTTTGAATTTTCTTGAGTACGGGGCAGTGGATTCATCAACGACCAAGACATTCCAATGAATTGGTTGAAGTGGTCAGAGACAGCGTTGCCCAGAACCCAAAAGTGTCGTATCGTCACCGCGCTCAGCATTTTGGCATCAATGGAACCACGTTGCGACGCATTTTGAAAGATGATTTGCATTTGTTTCCTTATAAGGTGCAGTTAACACAAAAAATATTGCCAACTGACCGTCCACGTCGCATGGAATACGCCCAAACAGTCGCTCGCATGGTTGATGCTGAACCTGATTTTTGGAAGCAAATTGTGATGACCGACGCTCTCTGGCGGCGTTGATAATCAAAACTGTCACATTTGGGGGACGGAAAATCTACATGAGCTCCACGAAATGTCGTTGCATGACCGGAAAGTGACTGTTTGGGCCGGAGTTTGTGCCAAAACCATCATTGGGTCACTTTCCTTTAACGAAAACGAAACAGTCGATGGAAATCGATATCGGTGGATGTTGGCTCATTATGTCTGCCCACAAATGCGTGAAAAAGGTCTTGATGGTTACTGGTTTCAGCAAGATGGCGCGCCATGCCACCCTGTAAATGAAACAATCCAGTTTCTGCAATGGCCACCCAGGTCTCCAGATTTGACCCCACCAGACTTCTTCTTGTGGGGTTATTTGAAAAGTGATGTGTATGCCAGCAAGCCCCAGATCACTGAAGAACTCAAGGCAAACATTCGTACCGCAATCGCCGCGATTTCACCAGAGATGCTCGAAAAAGTAATGGAAAACGCAGCAAAACAGGCACATTTTGTTTTGGCCAAGAAAGGTGGCCACTTGATAGATGTTGTGTTCAAAAAAAAACTAGTCCCAATAAATTGTAAAGGACCATATTTAATAAAAATACCCGATACATAGAAATCAGTTTTTCGTTTTCAAAGTTATTTCATGTTTACATACCGACATAAAAGATGGCGCACCCTGTATATCAAAGAGTAGGGCTAGCACACCCTTCATCGGGCCTGAACCAGCGATTGGGTCGCCTACTATACGACTAAGCAAATATTAGAGTATAGTTGGAAGGAAAGATCCAGCAACACAGGGTTAGCCAGTGCTAAGGCAACCATACCAATTTTAACAAAATAGGTAACAGACTCTCTGTTGCCGCTAAACAGGAATAGCCTCAAAGGTTCAGTGGGACTGTACACTGGTCATTGCAAATTACGTCACCACATGAGCAGGCTAGGCATGGTGGAAGACACTGTGTGCAGATTGTGCATGGAGGGAGATGAAACGATAAAGCAAGTTTTATGCCCTGCAATTTTCAGAGTCAAGTACAATACCCTGGGGGGGGGGGGGTTAGTACCTACTCGAAGTAGGATATTTCTCCAAATAAGTTGGTCGACTTCCTCAGGAGGTCGGAATTACTGGGAGAAATATAATTAGGTGTGAGGCACAATAGACCAGTGAGGATCGTGATTGACCTACCCACAAAAAGCTAACCTAAACTATCCTTTGTAAGACATCTGATACATAAGTGACGAAACGTTAGAGTAAGCACCGGTCCGCATATTTTCAATATAAATGCAGGAACTATTTCTAGAAAGCTGAGCTCTCAACTGCTGCGGTCTTGGTTGTAGTAAATACTATTTCTATTTCTATGGATACCCTAATTCTCAAGTGTCCCGGTTCATGCAAAATGTTCGCAATAAGGCAAGCACCCATGGCAACAACGCTGTCTTCAACGAGCAAAGATATAAAATCAGCAGGAGCGATCTAGCGAGCGTCTTCTCGGTGTGTACGTACCCATGATAGCATCTTCTCGAAGATCGCGCACGGTGATTTAAGGATACCATTTCCATTTCTATTATACCAGCTCGCGGGCCGAGGATATCTGGGATGGTCCGTGCTCGCCGTGCCATGCCATGCTATGGTATGTTTGTTTTATGGCTCCTTCTCGCCGTTTAACCAGAGTTATGCCCGTTCCGATGCAGATAAATCATCTTAGAATAGATAGCGGGTGATTCATGAGGTTCGGCTGTAGCACATTAGGACTATTTATTTGTTTAGCTAACCATTTATTCATTCTCCAGTATCTAGGCTGATACTAGCCTTGTGGATTGACCAGTATGATTCGTCAGCCTGATCACACCGAAATTTTTCACTTCTTCTACTATTTTCTTCACTGGCGATAAAACTTTGCACAACCACACGGATTCAAAGAGAAAGGTTGCATTTGGAGGCATCGGAGATTCTAGCTCCCAAAACAAAAACTCTATTGGAGCCAAGTCGCACCATCTCGGTGGCCATTTCATGTCACTTCTTGCGAGAAATAAACCTTATCTCGATAGGTTCATGCAGAATGGCTATTATGACGTTCATCGTGTGGCTCGCATCAGGGGAGAGAGCTACGAGAAGCAGAGCCCGTTAACACAGCGGTAGAACAGAGAAAGATCATCGACTGTCCGTTGGACTCCTTTGAAAGGCATCCAGCATCAAAAATGTAGCCGGGGCGGCAGCACTCCAAATACGTGAGCAGTACTCGAGTCTTGGTGTTATCTGGGCGTGGGTTGTTTTACTTCGTTATCGACCCGGCCTTACGCCTCTACATTTGCTTAGCGCCGTAAATGGTGATTCAGGGTAGCGTCAGTTTTCATAGAAAGCACTCCATATGAGCTTATTATACCGTTTCAAAAATATCACGACGACTGGAAGAAAAACAATTTTGTAAGAGCCGAATATACTGGATGATAACTAAATTT